GTAGGGTGTGCTCACAAGAGGGGGCCCATCGCGCTGTCAGTCACACTGATGGTAGGGTGTGTTCACAAGAGAGGGCCCATGGCGCTGTCAGTCACACTGATGGTAGGGTGTGCTCACAAGAGGGGGCCCATGGCGCTGTCAGTCACACTGATGGTAGGGTGTGCTCACAAGAGGGGGCCCATCATGCTGTCAGTCACACTGATGGTAGGGTGTGCTCACAAGAGGGGGCCCATCGCGCTGTCAGTCACACTGATGGTAGGGTGTGTTCGTGAGAGGAGGGCCATGGTGCTGTCACTCATCCTCTGGGCAGCACAGCATGTAGAGCCGGTAGTGGAGATGGAACTGTGGTAGCTAGGATACAGCTTCTTTGGAGGTGTGTTTCCTAGAAGATGGGTTTGGGCTCTGCCTGTCTGCACTTCCTCCTGTTCTTTGGGGCTGGTTTCCAGCTGCAGGATGGAGGGCACTGAGGACAGCTTGGTGTGGGCAGAGCCCAGGGGTCGCCGTGAGTGGGATGAGTGGACTCCTGGGCTGCCCCTGTGTCCGAATGCTGCTGACCCTCCGTGCGGGGCAGACACCCCGTGTCCCCAGCCAGCCGCAGAGGAAGGTGGCAGGCCTGACAGGGGTGGCCGGTGGCTGCTGGGGCTCCTCTCACCGCTGGCTTTGCCCCTGTGCCAAGGTGCCGGCTGATGAAAGCTCTTCCCAGAGCACACGCTTTACACAGACCTGCTCCTGCTCCAGCCGTTTCCCTACAGCGCCTCTCAGAAATAATGCTCACAGCTTCCTCCCTCAGTCAAAATATGCTGAAGTCCACCACTTTGTCGGCCTCTCCTGACTCCCCCTTGGCGGTTCAGGGTCACCAGTCCAGGAGAGTGGGGCTTAGAAAGTGCTGGAATGATACTTCAGATGCTCCCAGTTCAGAAGTAATCAAGTAACTTACTTAAAAGAAAACAAAGGATAGAAACTCCAAGAAAGATAGCAGTGTTTGGGGTAGGATGGTTCATGAAGCCCTAGCACGTGGCCCGACTGCCGGCTGCCTGTGGTGGTGTCCCTTGGACCTGGCAGGGAGCTTGCTGATGGACCGCTGGGAGAGGACGGTGTGTGGGCTGTGCACCTGGGCCCCTGGGGAGAGTCATGGCTGGACAGGAGCCGGGAGAGCGTGGCTCCCGGAGGAAGTGGGCGCTCACTGACAGGGAGGCAAGAACACCACGCAGGGAGGAGGCCTAGCTTGGGGGCATTGGAAGGCACCGCGGGGCGGGCTGAGCAGAGCCAGCCTCAGCTTGAATGAAGTACACAGAGCCGCAGGGATCTCCGAGGCCTGTAGCTTTATTGTCACTATTTCTGAGGTAGGAGAAAGCTTCCCTTGGGCTTTGGGAAGCTATCTGTTATCTGGTGGTGCAAGCTGAGGTTTGCACGCAGGAAAACCTGGTCTTAGCTGCACGTGACCAGGCTGTGATCCCAGCCCTGAGGGGCTGAGGCCGGAAGATCTGGAAGGTTTCAGACTGACTTGAGCTAGACTCAGATTTGTCAAGGAAGAAAAGGAAGGGAGGGAGGGAGGAACCTGAACCCTGGGCTCTTCAGTCTTCGATGTGAGGAGGAGGATGGCGCGCTCCCTCTAGTGCAGCAGTTTATCTTGTCTCAGTGAAGCTCCAGTCTCCTTGCTCAGGTGAAAATCTGGACGGTGAGCTGAACTCCCCGGCCACTGTGTGATGGCCTTTGGTTAGTTATGTCAGAAGCAGCGTTAGTAGCTGGCTGCCGCAGCAGGGAGACAGGGGGGTTCTAAGCCAGCAGAGAGGGAGCAGGCCCTCGTGTCAGCCATGCCGGCGTGACTGGTGCAAGGCGCTCTGCCGAGACCTGAGGCCAGGTCGCGCTGGGCCGTCCAGAGGGATTCCACATGCACAGTGGGGCTGAAATCACAAAGGAAAAAGCATCCCGCTCTTGTCTTGTGTTCCTTTGAGAGAACTGAGGGCTTGGGGGAGCTCCCCGCGGAGACCCGTGGGGGCCGTCACCAGGGGCAGCTGGGAGGGGTGAGGGTCAGGCCTGGGTAGCTGGGGGCAGCCTTCCTGCTAACCTAACCCTACCCCTTTGGTGTGCCCAGGTCTGGATGCCAGCTCCCCGGCCAGCACTCATGAGCTCACCATTCCCAATGATGTGAGTATTCCCCGCTTCCCGGCGCCCCGAGGTGCGGCCCCGCCCGCCCACACTCCCCACCCCTCCAGCTGCTTCTTCCCTCCTTTCCTATCTCAAGCTTGCCCAATGCCCATCCATCCCTCGGATGGCCAGAGGGAAGGGAGCAGGGGTCCGGCCGGACCGGGGCTGGGCGCCACGTCTCCACGCGGGCCCCAGCCTGGCTGGGTTGTACGAGAAGTCCCATGTCATCAGAGGTTTGGGGTTCTCAGTAAAGCGGCTCCAACAGACCCCGAATGTGTGAGGTGTCTGCGTTTTAGCACCCCTGGGTCTGCTCTGCCTGGGGGAGGCCATGTGCTGTGGAAGTTTTCCAAATCAGTAGATTATCCCGGGACCCCAAGAGCAGGGAGAGTGAGAGACAGACCCCAAAGGTAGCTGCTGGCGGCAGCCCGGGCCCAGGGCCGCCTCCACCCAACCTGTGTCCAGAGGCCGCCTCTGCGCTGGAGCTGGGCGCTCCTCTGCTGCTTGTGCCAGGCAGGCGGAAGGCTGGAGCCCTGCCTCTCCCTTCATGTAAGCACGGCTGCAGGAGTTGAGCGCAGGTGTGATGGGGGACAGGAGGCAGGAGAGGGCGAGCAGGCCATCTGGAGACCATCCTCCATGGCCCACGCGCTCAGGAGCAGCGCCAGCCCGGGACTGCTTCCCTGCCACCTTGAGGCCCCAACACGGAACCAGCCTCCGGTCGTGTGGCTGTGCTGCCTGCCCCTGCCTTGCGTGCCAGGCCTCCGGGTCCCACCGCCGCCGCAGCCCTTCCGCCAGTGCCACAACCAGGCAGGCTCTCTCCTCGGAGGGCCCCGCCAAGCCACCACTTGCCAGCGTCAGGAGATACACTCTTGCCATGCACATTCATTTTGAAACTGAGATGGTCGTAGGAGCAACGGTAGGGATGTGTCGGAGAGCCGTGCACCCCTGGCTGTGGCTCCCCCGGCCACCACACGCTGCTGGGAGGGGAGCCTGCTCCTCAGAAGGGAGGCAGAGCCCTCCCCACGCACTCGGCGCTCCCTGCCCATCCTGCATGGGAGAGACCCCGGCCAGTCCTCAGGGTGATCCGGACAGGAGGAGAGGGCCCTGCCCCACCGCCTCTCCCCTCCTCAGACACAGGAAGAAAGCACGATGTATCCACCTAACACCCCTCACCACATCCCGGTTTACTCCTGGTCACAACCAGATTAGGCCAGGGTCCAACAGGCACACGCCACGCCAGTGACCGCCACGCCAGTGCTCCCTTCTGAGCGTGCTCTCGAGCACAGAGACGTCCAGTGCTCACGTCTGAGCCTGCTCTCGATCACAGAGACATGCTGCCCACTTCTGAGCGTGCTCTCGAGCACAGAGACATGCTGCCCACTTCTGAGTGTGCTCTCGAGCACAGAGACATGCTGCTCACTTCTGAGCCTGCTCTCGAGCACAGAGACATGCTGCCCACTTCTGAGTCTGCTCTCAAGCACAGAGACATGCTGCTCACTTCTGAGCGTGCTCTCGAGCACAGAGACATGCTGCCCACTTCTGAGCCTGCTCTCGAGCACAGAGACATGCTGCTCACTTCTGAGCGTGCTCTCGAGCACAGAGACGTCCAGTGCTCACGTCTGAGCCTGCTCTCGATCACAGAGACATGCTGCTCACTTCTGAGCGTGCTCTCGAGCACAGAGACATGCTGCCCACTTCTGAGCGTGCTCTCGAGCACAGAGACATCCAGTGCTCACGTCTGAGCCTGCTCTCGAGCACAGAGACATCCAGTGCTCACGTCTGAGCATGCTCTCGAGCACAGAGACATGCTGCTCACTTCTGAGCGTGCTCTCGAGCACAGAGACATGCTGCCCACTTCTGAGCGTGCTCTTGATCACAGAGATGTCCAGTGCTCACATCTGAGCATGCTCTTGAGCACAGAGACGTCCAGTGCTCACGTCTGAACTTGCTCTCGATCACAGAGACATGCTGCTCACGTCTGAACTTGCTCTTTTTTTTTTTTT